CTGGTGATAACAGGTGCGCACTGCCCCATGAGGAGCCGCATAGGGTGCAGGTGCGGGGGCACCCCAGGAGCTGCTCCACCTCCTGCTGACTGCTGGTGACACTTCTCTGGTTTGGCCTTGCCAACCACCAAGGCAGGACACACACGCCGGCGTCACAGCCACACTGAGGAGCAGGCACTGGCCAGCGTCCAGTGACTCCAAGGGCTGAGCTGCACAGTCACGGGGATCCTGCCCCAGCCCGGGAGAGGCCCTGCCACGAGCAGCAAAGTGCTTTCATCAGTTCTTCCAGCCAGGAGCTGCGGCCCCCGGAGACCCAGGGCGGCCCCCCGGCTGCAGCTCCAGCTCTGCCCCTGCAGGCGGAGCTGGTCTCTGCCCGTCCTAGAGCCCTTAATCTGCACCACAGCAGCTGGGGGCGCTGCCCTCACACGGGCAGGGGAGCAGCTGTTCCTGCCCACTGGGTTCCCGACTCCTGACTCGATCCCCGCTCGGGCCTAGGGACAAGGCCCCAGGGCACCTTGGATTGGGCCAGTGGCCATGCTGCTTCCTGGGAGGCCTCCCGCCCGCTGCTTCACTGGGTTGGAGGCCCGACTTGCGCCGTGGAGGGCACTGAAGCGATGCCCCGTGCTGTGTCCGCCCAGGGCCCTGGAGCCCACCCTGACTGATGTGCCAGCCTTCCTTGCAGCTGCCGACGACTGCTTCTGACTGCACAGGGTACGGCCAAGCAACTGGAGAATACAGAGCTTTCACCGCTGTCTGTCTGAAGATCATTTGTTACAGACACAGCAGAAGGTCTGCGGCCCCATAAGGCAGAGACGCACGGAAACTTTGATTCCTGCAGAATTTCACACTGTGTCCAACACTGGAGTCACAGCCCAGCGGTGTTTTCATGATAAATCCCAGCCCTCTTTTCTGGAAGAAAGAACACGTTCTCCCCATCCATTAGTCAAATAAAAGATCATTGCCAGGGGTCCGGAGCAGATGGGAGCTGGTGTGGATGATCACCAGCCACAGAGGGTGTGCGGGTGAATCAGCACCATCATGCTCACCGTCATCACTATGTGCTCACCATCACTGTCACGTCATATCACCATCATCACCACTACCACCATCATCACACCACCTCATCACCACCATCACCATCATCACCATCACTGTCACCATCACCATCATCACTGTCACATCATTATCATCATCACCACCATCACCATCATCACCATCATGATCATCACCGTTACCATCATCACCATCACCATCACCGTCATCACCGTTACCATCATCACTGTCACCATCATCCTCACCATCATCACTATGTGCTCACCATCACTGTCACCATCACCATCACCGTCATCACCACTACCACCATCATCACCATCATCACCACCATCACCATCATCACCATCATCCTCACCATCACCGTCATCACCGTTATCACTGCCATCATCGTCACCACCATCTCTGTCACTGTCCTCACCACCATCCCATCCTCCTCCTCCTCCTCATGGCCATCACAGCCCCGTCGGCTTCCCTGTCATCAGTAGCACGCACAGACCAGCCGTTGCACTCAGTAATCTAAATACATCACCTCAGTTTTCCCACCTGTGAAGTGGGGCTGTGGTGATGAATAGACCAGCTAGTGCAGGTGAGGTGAGCTGATGCACAGACTGACAGGCAGATCCCAGGAGAGTTATTCCATGTAGTTTTTTTTTTTTTTTTTAAATTTTATTTCTTTGAAAGAGTTACAGAGAGAGAGGTCTTCCATCCGCTGCTTCACTCCCCAGATGACCACAATGGCTGGAGCTGCGTTGATCCAAAGCCAGGAGCCAGGAGCTTCTTCCAGGTCTCCTATGCAGGTGCAGGTGCAGGGACCCAAGGACTTGGGCCATGTTCTACTGCTTTCACAGGCCGTAGCAGAGAGCTGGATCGGAAGAGGAGCAGCTGGGATTAGAACTGGCACCCATATGGGATGCCGGCACTTCAGGCCAGGGCTTTAACCCGCTGTGCCACCACCCCCCCAACCCCGTAGTTTTATAGACCAGGCCTGAGCGTCTGGTGCTGTCACTGTTTGACTTGAGGATGACAGATGGAGAACGCATTCGAGTCCGTGAAGCGGGGAGACTTGCGTGCAAGGGTTTAGTTCGCTTGATTACTGCCCACTGGACTGGGAACCCCGTGGGTGGACGGGGCCTCCTTGTTTGGGCCACAAGCTCTCTGTGCCTGCTATGGTGGGGGCCTGGGTGCAGACACTGGGGAGGAAGTGGGGTGGGGGGGAGGCTGAGCGAGGTGTTACCTGGGCACCTCCCTGGACCCTCACAGAGACCTGTGAGTGGGCCCTGCCACCCCCATGAGGGCACCACAGGCGTAGACAGAAGTGGATCCACCCAGACTGACCTGGGGCCCTTGACCCTCTGCTGCTCGGCCCGGGCTCACACCCTCTGGTGACAGGACCAGTGCTCCCGCGTGTCGAGGCCCTGGGACGAGCCGGGAGCCCAGAGTGCGCCGAGTGGTCTCCTCCCTGTGGGCTGGGGCAGGCAGCTGGGCGCTGTACTTCTCTCTGCTGGGGCACCTGTCCCCACCTCAGGCTGGTCCCCAGCTGGAAGCCAGGTGCAAGGTGAGAGACCCTGGGGCTTAGGGCAGGTGTGGGAAGCCCGGTGGCCTGAAGGTTGACATGTGTGGTCATCACAGAACACCTGTGACCCGTGACTGGCGCTGCTGCCTGGACCTGGCCCCATTGGCCTGGCCCCGTGTGTGTCGCTGAGCAGTGGGCTGCCCTTGCAGCTGGTGGTCGGAAACCTTGGCTGTGTAGACTTTCCCCGTGGGACATACACACGCGTGTGCACACACAGGCACATGCGGCACGCAAGGAAGCTCAGAGAGCAGGGCTGGGGCGGCACCAGGAGAACAGAGGTGTCTGAGGACTGGTGCTGCCACGGTGTCCCCGCAGAGGGAGGCCATGAAGGGGGCCTACTGCGGGAGGGGACCTGGGCCCTGGTGTGGGATCTGGGGGGCCCGTGTCCCGGTGACAGGTTGGATAAGCCAGAGACCCTTTCAGCCCACGGCTGGACCTGGAAAGTCCATCACGCACTGCGTCCCTAGGTGGGAACACAGGGAGCCACGCCCCCCGCAGGCGGCCGGTGGTACTGCTGCTGGGGGCCCGGGGAGGCTGCCCTCGGACACTGCCTTCCCCGAGGTATGCCTGGGCCTGCGCTAGCTCTCCCGGAAGTGCTGGAATTCCCCGTGCCTAAAGCAGGAGGCATTGCCCCACGACCACCGGAAGCTCGGCCCACGACGGTGTGCTCGTGTGCCCGCTGCCGAATGCGGTGGTGTGCAAGGAGCGGGGCTGGAATGAGCTCTCGCAGGCGCTGGCCACTGAGCTGCCCTGTTCCGCGGAGCTCAGGTCGCAGCAGGGCGAGCCTCGTTTCCACACTGCGGTTTTCAACTGATGAGAAGTTATTAGAAGAAATCCTAATTGCACCCTTTGGAATCTGATACAACTACAAATCCACTGCTAATTTTCTTGTTTCAAGATTCCACCTAATCGCCCAAGATGAACCGCACAGAATCTAAGTTCCCCTAAAATACCCGGCCCATAAAGGCCGTTCCCTCGGGGGCTGAGCAAACGTTTTTTCCTTCCCTCTCCTGTGGCTTCTGGATGGTCCGAAGTGCAGCCCTGGGAGGGAACCCCGCCTGAGACACAGAGCGTCCTGTGTTCCCAGCAGGTCCTGAAGACAGTGGCCGTCAGCCACAGCGGTGGGAAAACCACACACCTGGCAGGGGCCGGAGCCGGCTGCCTGGTCCTGGCCACCGAGGGGCCTTGGGTCCTTTCTCCTCCCGGTTTCTTCCCCACGGCCCCAGGGAGGAGGTGGTGCAGGCTTCCCCCAGGGAGGCCCTTGGCTCAGCTCATCTGTGTCCCGGGCTGTGCGGTGCTCTGTGCGGTTCATCTGCATCTGTGGCCCCGCGCCCTGCCAGCAGCACAGGTGGCTCTGGGTGACCGGGGGTCCCGGGGCCAGCCCCTGCCAGGTGCACAGAGACCCTGAGCAGGGGAGCCCTCAGGATGGTGACAGCAGAGGGACAGACTGCGCCGCAGAGCTGGGCCGGCTCCAGACGGAGCTCTGGCCACGGAGCTCACGGCCTCGGGCAGCGCGGGCCAGGGTGTGGAACAATGGGAAGAGGAGGCATCGGGTGCTGGGGCACAGGGTGGGCGACACTGCCTGGGCTGGGGCAGGGGTCCAGGGCCGTTGTGTATGGGGGCCGGGGACTGTGGCCCAGCCAGTTTAGCAGGATTCTTGCTCAGATCGGACGACGCAGAGATGGCACTGGAGAGAGACCTAGCGTCTAGGCCTAACGAAAGCTGCCGGGAGCTGAGCCGTGGGTACAGGGGAGACTCTGTCCCTAAACCAAGTCAGAGCCCGGGCTCACAGGGCTGGGGGACGGGGACGACCGGTGCCTCAGGTGAGGCTGCTTTGCAAGGCCCAAGACGTTTGCTTCCTGCTGCTTCTGTTCCTCCGAGCACCCTGGACGCCTCCAGCGCGGGGGAGGCGCGCGTCACCCTGCTTCTGAGTGAGCGACTTCCGGGCCTGCCTGGGCCGAAATGCGGTGGGAGACGAGGGTGCTCTGGAGGGGGCCCAGGACCCTCGCCTGGGGTCTGAGCAGCTCCGCCCTGGGCCTGGCCGTGCGTGGGTGGAGGCAGCAGAGGCCGGGCCAGTGAGGCTGAGCCTGCGCGGGGAGAAGAGGTCGCACCTGCAGCGCCGTGTGGGGCGTGGCCTCCGCCCCAGGGCTGTGGGCAGCACGAGGCCCTGGCATGGTGCCCCCAGGCGCCCCGCTGGGCAGTTCCGTGCTCCTGTCCGAGGTGCAGCAGAGCCACTTGCACCCCTGGGCACCAGCCCCGGCCACCTTCCCCGCTGGCCTGCGTCAGGCTGTGCGACCTCGGCAGGTTTTCCCAGGGTGCACTGAAGCTGTGGGTCTCCCTCTGGGCTTAACTCTCTGCACCTTCTGCCCCTCAGGACTGAAGGCCGCGGGAGCCTGGGGCTAGAGGAGGCGGAGCCAGAGGACAGAGGCCCGAGGACGCCGCCCCCCCAGATCCCCCTGGAGGAGCGCGTGACGCACTTCCGAGACATGCTCCTGGAGAGAGGGGTAAGGAGGGGCTGCAGACGCGTCCCCGGGGACCAGAGGACAGCGTCCTCCTTGCTGGGTCTGTGCCAAGTGGGTGACTTGGGGTGCCAAGTGACCTGAGCCGTGGGAAGGGGCCCTTCTCTCCCAGGAGAGCAGCCTGTGAGGTCCTAGAGCCCCTGGGGGCAGGACGGCACAGGACGCCCCTGCCTGTGGGTGGGATCCTGCTGGAGCCAGGCCACGCCCAGCACCCGGACCTCAGAGGGTGACGTCTCGCTGGCTTATTTCACCCAAGTGGGGACTCCCACATCCGTGACTGATGCCAAGTGTTAAAAAAAAAAAAGGCTTTCTTAACTGTAGCTGGTTTCTGAATCTCACTTTGAATCGGGGAGGGGTATATTCAAATCTCTTCCACAAACTTGTTTCTCGCTGTGGCTTTGGGCATAAACTGAGCCAGACACAGGCTTGCAGCCCAGTTGGATTTCTCTCCAAAGGAGGCCGCGCACAGAAGATGGGGGTGGGCTGCGTGCGTGATGACAATCGAAAACGGCCTCCAGAACTCAAACGCAAATCCCTGTGCAGTCAGCACCTGGCCCCGGCTGACTCCCAGCGGGGGCCGCCCAGCAGCAGGTGCACTGGGGGCCGAGGCGGCTGCTCCCTGGCGTGGAGGAGGCAGCAAGGGCAGGTGTGCCCCGGGCCGGGCAGCTGGGGCTGCGCTGCCTGAGTCAGGCCTGGGCCGGATTTCTCCATCGCGTCTTCTCGCCTGGGGGGGGGCATGCATCTGCTGCCTGTGTCTCCCCAGGTCCTGAGCCGTTCACCCAGCGGCTCACTCTGGTGCCCTGTGAGCCCTGGTGCCGCGTGTGGAGCCTGAGCAGACGACCACGCTGTGGAATGCGGTTGGGGCTGGGCAGACGCTCGGGTGCAGGGCACCACTGCCGGGGTGGACACTCGGTGGGGGACACGCACTGTCGGGGTGGACGTTTGGGGCACACAGACACTTTGATGGGGTGGGGGCTGTGCTTGTTTGTTTGTTTGTTTGTTTGTTTTTTTCAAAAACTTGTTTTAGCCTAAAATTGTATTTAAAATAGACCAGGCAACTTTCTTTGAAGCCACAGAGAGGATTTGATTCCAGCAAATGTTGGGGCAGGGGGCCGCTGTCTTGCCCCGGCAACCTGTGTGCCCGCTGGCCCCGGAGGCCGCTCAGCAGGGCAGCAGGTGGGCTGGGCGCGGTGGCCACCTCTCCGTTCTCTTCCCTTCTGCCCTCAGTCTGCTCTGCACCTGCCCGGCCTTTCCCACGTGAACACCAAAGATGAGTACATAAGCCACGAAAACCCACCTGCTGAGCGACACAGGAGCGAGGAAGACTCGGAGACGGGCGGGGGCCGTGCTCGGCGCTGGGCGTCCCTCCTGGCCCACGGGTCCCACGGGGAGCGCTGGCTCCTGTCTGTGTCCCAGCCCCAAAGCAGCATGGAAGAACCAGCAGAGATCCCCTGGGAGTGTGTGTGTTTTGCGTATCCAGGAGTGAGCAAGGGCACGGCCATGCAGGGTGTGCACGCCGCAGGGCCCTGGGGCACACCCTGGGGGTGGAGGCAGAGACAAGCAGGTGTGCGCTGGCTCCTGTGGCTCCTGCTGGTCCCTCAGCGGGGGCCAGGGTGTCGGACGCATGTTCTCGGCCCCGGCCGCTGTCCTGCGGTGCAGGTGCCTGTGGGTACATCGGTGCGGGGAGCCTCAGGCAGTGCACACCGGCCTCGTTCACGGGCTCCGAGTTTTGCTCTCACAGGGCCAGAGCCGGGACCAGTGTCGGCACTGGTCACCCCTGCCGGTGGCCACGCTGCTGCCCCCTCCGCCGGCCGGCCTCTGGGTGCTGCCCGCCTTCCGCTCTGGGGCAGGTTCTCTGCTGCTTTCCTCCCACCTGGGCTCAGGAGGGGCTGCGTGCAGGTGGCCGTGGCGCCACACGTGCGTCTGTCCGAGTGTCTGGCCCACGACCCCGTGCCGCTCCCCGGGGAAGTGTGTTGATGCTGGTGGAAGCCCCGGCAGCTCCCCTCTGCCCTGTGTCTGTTCCTTCTAACAGGACAGCACCTGTGGGAGAGCCGTGAGCAGGAGGGACACTAGATTTTGGCGTGTGGGTCGGTGAGCTGTGGGGCAGACCCTCAGCAGAGTGTGTGAAGTAATGGGAGCATCGTCTCTCCCAGCCCAGATGGACGGGGCCCCTGCGGGAGGTCTGGAGGCGCAGGCAGCTCGTCCGTGGGCGGGGCCACCAGACCTCCGCCTGTGCCTCTGCTGGGGCTCTGGCCTGGCCCCAGGTTCCCTGCAGGGCATGGCCTGGCCAGCTGAGTGGGAGTGCATGCCAAGGGAGGCTTAGTCACGTGACTGTGTGGTCAGCATCCGGGGCTGTGTGAGCTTGGGGTCAGTGGGGTGAGGAGCAGGCGTCCAGGTCACTACGACTGCGGGAGGGGGGTTTCAGCTCGCCAAGGGTAGGGGGGCAGGTGGGCTCACGAGGCTTCTGCGAGGCCCCTGTGGGGGCAGCAGCTCTATCACACGGCCTGTGCCAGCCTTCCCTGGCGGCCTCCCCGTCACCGCCCTGAGCCCTCCCAGGCGGCCACAGAAGCCCCTGCCGGCCACATGTCCTGCTCCTGGGGACTGAGGACTTCTACACCCTGGAGACCCTCCCAGGCCTGGCACGGAGCCCGTGGGCACTCGGCAGTGCCCTAGGGAGTCCTGGTGTGCATGCGGCTGCTGCCCTGGGCGGGCCTGGCCCAGGGCAGGTCTCAGAGGGACGCTGGAGGCACGTGGGGAGTGGGCGTCTTCTGCCGTTAGCTCTGGCTCCCTGGTCCTTCCCCGGCACTCCTGTCCACGCAAAGCAGCTACAGGACAGGGCTGCTGGGCAGCTCGTGCAGGCAGGACGTCAGGGTCCCCTGCCTGAAGGCTGTGCTCCTGCTCTCGAGGCCTGGCGGCTCCTGGACTCCCTCACGGGGCTCTCGATAGCCGGGGTGCCAGGCGCACCGGGAGCTGCCGAGCTCCGGGTTCCGGCCAGAGCAGCCGACACTCGGGCACCGAGCTGCCTGCCAGCACAGAGACGCACTCGTGAAAGTCACTGTGGGCACCAGGGCCTGAAGCCTGGTGCTGGGAGTCCTGGAGGAACACGGGTGGACCGTTTCTTACTAACGGGCTTGTGTCCCTTCTCTTCTGCCGACCAGCCAGGCTCAGGTCCCCAGACGCTTTGCACGGACCCAGGTGGGGCTGTGCGGTCACCTGGGTTTACCAGATGGCCCCAGCGGGGCCTTTTTCCTCCTGGGACGTTCAGTGCACTTGGACCCGTCGGGTGAGTGACTCAGTTCAGCAGCAGCGGCCGGAGCCTGTGGGGCCCCTCCCCCGCACTGTGGGTTTACTCTGGGAGAGGCCTGAGCCCCTGGCTTACGAGGATTTTCAAGAAAAGCCCACACGCGGCTCGCGAGCAGAAAAGATCAATCCAGATTTATTGCTCACATCATAAAGCAATGCCACCGTTTACGGCTCTTCGACTTTATAAAATATGCCAGCAGATTTCATAAGCTGCTGGTGCGCGTGAGTTTGATAGCTAACCCCAGAAGACTGCAAGTTGCTTAAAAAATGAGGCCCAGAAAGGTCACTTCTCACGGACTGGGTGATTAATAAGGTTTTTTATTGCATTTGTTCAGCATTTCAGTTGAGAAATGCGTGTGCTTGTGGAATGATAAAGCCGGGTCCGGGGCTTTCCCGAGTTTATAAAGGGCAGGGGCGGGCGATTCTGCGAGGATGGGGGCGGGAGGGGACCCTGGCTCTGCGCTGCACAGCTGTGGGTGACGGCGCCACAGGGGGCTGGCTCTGGCGTTTCCGTTGCTGGTGTGGTGGTGGTTATTGGTGGTGTTTGTGGGATTGCTGTTGGTGGTGGTGTCGGTATTGGTGTTTGTGCGATTGCTGTTGGAACTGGTGCTGGTGGTATGGTGGTGGTGGTATTTGTGTTTCAGTACTTGTGGGATTGCTGTTGGAGTCGGTGCGGTTCATGGTGGTGTTGGGTGTTGTCAGCTGTTGTGCGTGGCGTGTTTTGTTGTTCTTTACTAACACACGGTGGAGCTTTCTTCTAAAGCCTCAGGCTGTAGGGCGCATTCACTTGAGTAACAGGTTACCAGTCTGACTCTGCCTACTTAGATGAGTGCGCTGGAGACGTTCTACTGAGACTGTTAGCCTTCCGCCGGGGATTCCTTGGAAGCTGAGGAGTCCGCACCAGAACGCGAGATTGTGATTCAGGGACGCAGGGGCTGCGCCGGGTTCTCCGAGGGGCCCCTCTGCAGCTGCCTTTGGTCAGCCCAGGGTCGTCAGCCATGGGGACGTGGTGGACACTGTGGGCAGCCCCCACGGAGAGCCCTGGGGTTTGGATCCCTGTCTGCGTTGGAAGAAGGATCCCCCCAGCCTGGCCCCCGTGGTCTCTCCCTGCACCAGGCCGGGCGGCATTGCTCCCCAGGAGCTGGTGTGAGGTCCACACACGTGGGACCCAGGCTCCATTCTAGGTCCTCGGCCAGGGGAGGGGAACTTCTCAGAGACCTCAGGAAAGGCAGCCTTGCTCCCAGACAGCCCTGCCCCCACCCCGCCTGCATGCTCAGAGCATCGCCCCGACACAGCCTCACCCTGGAACCTTGGCAGGTGCCGCCAGGCTGGTGCCGAGAGGCCGCTCCGCCTGGGCTCTGGGCGCCTGTGCCGTCTGCTCCTGCTCGGAATCTGCCTTCCAGGGGAGCATAGCAGCCTCGTGTCCCTTGGTGACTTCCAGATCTCACGAGGCCCCCGGTGGGAGCAGTGGTGGAAAGAACTCATTGATCACTGAGGATTTGCAAGGCATGGCGGTCGCCACAGGCCCACGCGGCACCTCACAGGTGCACACAGCCCCACAGCACCTCACAGGTGCACACAGCCCCACAGCACCTCATAGGTGCACACAGCACCTCACAGGTGCACACAGCCCCACGGCACCTCACAGGTGCACACAGCCCCACGGCACCTCACAGGTGCAC